AGTGGTGCTCCTGGACCCCGGGGTCGTGCCAACGTGGCAGTCGGGCAAGAAGCACCATAAAAAGGGCCAACAAACCCCACGCCCCTGCCCGCAGCCAGGATCTCCCCTGGGCCTCCGGGGAGCCTGGGAGAATGAACATAAAAGCACCAAGGTGGTTCCCGGGGGGGGAAGCACCTGTAGAAGAGCCTGTGTCAGTGGCTTCAGTGCCACCCGGTGGGGGAGGCAAATCAGACGCCGTCCAAAGAGGTGTAAAAACAAGAGGCAGCAGCAGCCTAATAACTCCCTTTTCAGACCAGCAACGAGGCAAAAAGGAAAGAAGAAGGGTGTTGTGGAGATGTCTGTAGATACCAGAGACAATGACTGTTCGTTCCTCAATAGCTCCTATTCCTGGGGCAGAGTTCAAGCAGCTTTGTCCTTCCATAAGAAGAAGACAGTTACCACAGAGGCGAGTTTCTGCAACACCATCCTTTGTACCCCCTCTGGGAAATCCCTCCTTTCAGGTTACCAAGCCACCCCATCTACTGGTAGGGCTCAGTGCAGCACTTGGTCTGTTTCTTCCATGATCCTGCTGGCTCCCAAGGATTCCTGCTCTGCCCTGGAGCTCGTGCTTACAGATGCTGAGAAGGTTTTTGGGGAATGCCAACAGGAGGGGCCTGTTGCTTTTGAGGAATGCATTCCTTTAGATAAGATGAAAAACTGCAAGAAAATTGGAGAAGGGGTGTTTGGAGAGGTCTTCCAGATTGACAGTGAGAGAGGACCTGTGGCCTTAAAAATAATTCCCATTGAGGGCACCCAAAGAGTAAATGGTGAAGCTCAAAAGAGCTTTGGAGAGATTCTGCCTGAGATCATCATTTCAAAAGAACTCAGTCTTCTGTCTGAAGAGTCTGTGAACAGGACTGTTGGGTTCATCAGCTTGTACTCTGTGCACTGTGTTCAAGGGGCCTATCCTACGTATCTCCTGGAAGCCTGGGACAAATACCACAAAGTAACAGGCTCAGAAAATGACCGGCCAGACTTTTTTGGAGACAAGCAGCTCTTTGTTGTCCTGGAGTTTGAATTTGGAGGCAGCGACTTGGAGAACATGAGAAAGGAGTTCAGTTCAGTGGCATCAGCTAAAAGCATCTTGTACCAGGTGACTGCTTCCCTGGCTGTGGCAGAACAGGAGCTGCACTTTGAGCACAGGGACTTGCACTGGGGGAACGTGCTGGTGAAGAAAACAGATGTAAAGGAGCTTGACTACGTGTTGAATGGGGAGACACACACAATCCCCACAGCGGGACTTCATGTCAACATCATCGACTACACCCTGTCTCGGCTGGAGAAGGATGGCTTAACTGTCTTCTGTGACCTTTCCACTGATGAAGAACTCTTCCTAGGCACAGGGGACTACCAGTTTGATATCTACAGACAAATGAAAGAGGAGAACTCCAACAACTGGACTGACTACCACCCACACAGCAACGTCCTCTGGCTGCACTACTTGTCAGACAAACTCCTGCACAACGTGCGCTACAAGAAAAAGGCATCAACTCCTGCCATGAAGAAAACAGAGCAGCAGCTCAAGAAGTTCCACAAGGAAGTACTGACCTTTGGCTCTGCTGGTGATGTTTTACAGAACAGCAGCCTCTTCCAGTGAGCAAGGGAGTGCCACGTTTCCATGAACCAAGTCCCCAGTGCTGCCTTTCTCCTTTGCTGTTTTTATGTATGATTCTTTACATGTTAGCAAGTTGAATGAGTATTATGATTAGTTACCAGTTTGTATAATATACTATCAAAAAATGCCTAAAAAAAACTGGAAAAAAAAGGCCTTGTTTGAAGTTGTTTCTATATATGCTTTTTCTTGGGGCATGACACAGGGAAAGAACAGAGTTGACATTTGAGAAGAGGGGAAGATGATTTCTTCAGGCTCAATGTTTTGAATTCCACAGACACAGTCTTACCTTTTTAGTCTCAGATTATTAAAAGTTATTTTCTTACTATATTGTCTTTCTTACAAATTCTTCTTTAAAAAAAGCAACAAACCAAAAAAACCCCACAAAACCAAACAATCCTGGACAGTGAGGACAAAGGTAAACACTGTTAGCCCAGTTGGAGACAAAGAGGAGAAAACCCATCTTTTGACTTAGTTTAAAACTGAACTTTTGTTCAGTTTGGCAAAGTTTGTACCTGGAATGATGTTACAAAATGTAAATATGTAAAGTTTCTGTAGCTTACGTTTTAAAAACACACTAATCTGCAAGAATAAGGTGTTTTTCCTCTCTCAAGAACCACTGAAGAGGTATTTGAATATGAAAAAAAATTAGAAAAAGTACCTGTGTCCCTGATGCATTTTTGGCTGTTATGATGTGTGCCCTTGTGTGCTGATAGGAACCCAAATCTGCAGCTTGATAATTGCACTAAAAGCAGTTTTTTCCATTCATCTGCAGAAGAAAATGCACAAGGTAATAAGTGTTCTTGAGTCCTAACTGCAGATGGAGCAGATGATGTGAATTTGAAGCTATAACTTACATTAAGTCTGTGCTGTGTTCAAGAAGTCCTTCACTAACATTCATGTACATGAAAGAAACTGGTCTAGAGAATGAGAAATCAAACTGAAGTGAAATGTGAATTAGATTATTAAAAATGAGTACATGCAATGACCCAGATGCATTAAGTAATTAAGAGATGGCCTCATCAAAGTCATTAGACCTGGCATGCTGTCTATGCAGTCCATCAATTAGATGCATCTTTGAACCTACACTGAAGTCTACTTTTTACAAGCTAAGCAGCTGGAGACCCCAGGAACCCCCTGCTATGATGGGCTCTTATTTTTCTGTCTTCCAAACTCTTTACTTTTCCTACCTAGTACCACAAAAGTGACTTGGCAATCTGCAGTGCTTGAAATTACTAAGATGGAAACTGGATTGGAATCTTACCAGGCATCCTCTCAATCTTTTTTTTCCTCTAATTGACTAAAGTAATGCAAGATAATTTAATGTTCTTAAAACTTACTTGGTAGGGACTGCAGTGAAGGCATTATCTGACATCAAGGACATGTTCTTCAGTTAGGATGGGGCTGTTTTCATTTATGCCTAAACAAAATGAAGATGGATGAAACAATATTGTTGCCTGCCTGCCTAGATCCTTTATTTCTATGATTTGAGAACTAATATTGGCTGTACAGGAGTGATGGAAGCAGAGTGGCAGTAATTAATGACAGGAGAGGTGACATGGCACAGCAGTGCTGGAGCAGCCCTTTATGACTACACATTTTGAAAGCTGCCATTGCCTTGAAATGTTTCCTAATGCTAATTTCTGAATAAGTAGTATTGCTTTCAACAAACAGAATTTAAACCTACCCTTCACAAAACTGGGCAATAAATTCACATAGGAACCTTTGCCTTATACTGTGCTTGCCAGAGATGAGTTCTCATTTCCTTTGTAAAGGTGCTCTCTGTTTAAAAAATGCTGTGAACCAGTCAGGCTCCATCAATTCTAATGGGAGGAAAGTGACAAGAAAGGAATCTGAATGGGAGCTTTCCACCTAGTTAAGAAAAATGCCCTGAACATATGTTTTCATTCCAATCATTGGAAGTGAAAGCTTTACTTGGAACAGAGCTGGGTTATGCATTTTAATCATCTGTTCTCTACTAAGGAAGGAGGATGCTGAAACACCAGCTTTGAAATATGTCCTACACTAAAATTAGGACCTTAAAGGTCCTCATATTTTACTGAAATAATGAAATATGAGCAAAGCTAAAATTATCATAAGGGCAGGGAAGATTTTTCACATGGATCCAAATGCTTTAGAAGGCTGAAAAGAACAAGCATGGTTTTGTGTACCCAGTGGCTGATAAGCAGTGTGGACACCAAGAAGGATTTCTGGCATTTCCTTTCTAGTTCACAGGGTATTTTGTGGTGAAAATAGCAGCACTCACTTGGTGAGATGAAGTTTGCAGACTATTTTGGAATGTGCTTTTATCTAATTGCCTAATCACTGAAAATGTGAAGAGAAAGACATAAAATATCAATTACTCTGTAAATACTCTAACTCACCAAGGTACTCTTAAATGTGATGGCTGATGTCCTTTCTGCTCATCATCCCCTTCTGGAGAGATCAGACATTAAGTGCAGGAATACGAAAATCATCTTTTGCCTTGAGAAAATGCAGCTGAACTAGAAAGTGCAGCAGCTCAGGCCTAATTGTAGAGACAGAGGATACAAGAGCAGCTTCTCCAAGTATCATTTAGAGGGAGGGAAAAAGTGAAAATTATCTCTGCTTACAGTTGTCTTGAGTACTGGGTGCCCAATTCTGCAGTTACAGGATAAGAGAAATTAATGGTGTTCAGTGAGCAGGAGAGGATGGCTGCCAACAAGAGGAATGCTCTTTAATGCTGAATGAAAACACACTGGGAAATTCAATTCAGTCTGTGTCTGCTCCCATAAAATGAATTAGCTACAAATAGCCCAATAAAAGCTTGGAAGTCTTAAATCAGATAAATCCAGTATTCAGGCTCTAGTCCTAAGAACTGAAATGCTCCTTCCCTTCCCTGGACTTTACTCCAAGATTTATTTAGGTAATAAATGAATAGGAGTCTGTGCTGGGTTTTCTTAAAAAGTAGGTTTTTAGGATGGTTCAGGAGACATTCATGGTCACTTCCTTAGTGTGGCCCACCACTAATTCCTTTCTAGAAGCAGACAGAAAAATGAGATGGGGGGATATGTAATTTCCAAGGGTTTTTATTCAATCAGAGACCCAAAGTATTCTGGTTCTGGTAATTACTCTCTCCAAATGCTTTCACATACAGCAATAGCCCAATTAACTATTTAATATTCTTCAGGGTGTGTAAGAAAATGTTTCATTTTTTATATTGAAGGCAGTCATCTCCAAAGCTCATGTAACATCTGATCATTTCTGGTTCACATCAAGATAGATTTTAAACCTTGTTCCACTCGATTAACTGACTGAATCTCCAGGGCAGCTTCTCACAAGGGAACAACTCTTTGCTGCAGGGCTACCCTGTGCACCAGCCCAAAACAAAATCACATGTTCAAGTTCAATGCCAGAATTGTGGTTTTAGGATGACTAGAGTTGTTTAAACCTTGGCCTTTCCTCTGGGATTTCCTAGAACAGCCCAGCAACACCCATGGAGGCAACACAGTGAGTGTGTTGTAGGAACAGGGTGTCATGGAAAGGGTGAATGGAAGAGAAAGTCATGTGGAAAAGCACATCTGGCCTGGGAATGTGGAGAAAATGTCTGATGCACAAAGGTGACATTTTAGATGAATGCTAAATGCAAAATCTGGATGGTACAGCTACTGTGACTCACTCAATCTGACTGTCCAAGCCACACAGCAGCACAGAGGGTCTTGTTGCAGTCCTTGTAGAGCAACTGGAAGCAAACACAGATCCAATCAGATTTTAACAGTCCTGATTTTTCTAAGGCAGCAGATCAATAATATCTTTACATATACAGGTATATTATCTGAAAACCCAAATTCCCATAAGCTCAATTAAGGAGAAGCTGGAATTAAAAAGACCCTCTTGCAGTAAGTCAGCCCTAAATTGATGCTGTTTTGTAATTCTCCTCCCAAGAGAAGATCTATTAGCAATAACATAACAGGTCTTCACTGGGGATAAGGCCTCATTAAAGAAATGCCAGGTGTTTCCCCTGGATCACCAGAGAGCAATAATATTAATTTATTTTACAGACATGGCATGTTTTTCTGGGATAAACATGGTCACAGGCTGTGCCAGTTGATAGACACACTGTTTTGAAGAGACAAGATACTTTAGCAATGGCTTTATTCACCAATAAAAATCTACTGTCTGTGGCTGATTTTTCTGGAGAAGTTCAATGGTAATTAATAAATGTTGGGTGCATAAGAACTAAACAAGGCTGACCAACACTCCAGAATCTCATTAATTATTCTTAGGAAATAAATGTACCATCAACATCACAATCCCTAAGATTCCTGTGACTACAGTAATTAGTGTTCATTATTGCTCACTGCTAAATGTTGTCCTGATTTCTCTGTCCTGTGCTTTATGGACAGCTAATTAAATATTGAATTGTGGTGAAGACTCCTGTTAAGTAGTAAAGAGCTGCCTCTTCACAGAGTTTTGTGCATTTTTTAGGAGCTGTGATTTGAATTTCAGACTAAATGTGAAGCTAGATGAGCTTGTAGGAATCCTGCTTTTAAACAGGAGACAGGGTATCAACCAACCTTTAACTCCATTAGAAGTTTGCAGCCTCTCAAATAATATGAACAAAACAAGTAAAATTAAAAAAATATGTATTTTTCATTAGTCTTCAGATTACTTCATTAGAAGATGGGACAGTTGTTACTACCAAATGCAGCATTCAAATATTAAGTCTTACTGTAAATTCCAAAGTAGAGCTCAGTATCTGACCAGCACTTCACAAAACACACAAACCACCTGCCTCTTCACATCTCATTTTAGACAAGAGGCACAGGAGAAACGTTGTGGTCAAAAGTAAAGCAATTTTTAAACCTTAAATATGAAATATTAACCTTAGAGATGGGGTTCTCTTAAAAAGAGACAAGTGCCAGTTTGTAGGAAACTGAGCCTAAGGTCTACCCAGAACACAGTATTGCTGGCTAGGAAGGGAGCAGAGGGCAGAAGATGACATG